CATGAAACCTCATGAATCAATTTTTGTTTRTTTTACTTCTTTTATTTCCAGTCTACAATGAAAAGAACAAAAGAAATACAACGAAACAAGATCTGTAAATCGGACCTAAAATTCAACCAAGAAAAGTTGAACAAAGGAAGGGTTTGAAAAGGGATTACGGATTTACAATGAAAATAATAGATAATAGGGTTGAATATACTAAAACAACTATTGAAAATTTGACGGCATTAGCAAAAATATTTGATTAGAAAAGTGTTGAGTTCTTAAGAGAAAATAATGGTGTTGGARAAGCAAAATACTAAGTCGAAGAATACTGTGGGAAAACCTCTTTGATTRCTAAATGTTTTGGCAATTACTGGTGAAGATTAATCCTTCATAGATTGGTTGTATTGTATAATAATAATATGTATTGTATAATAATTATTCGCTGTGTGAACACTTGACARGTAAGAAGTTGCATGCACGGGTTTTAGACTTGCGTCAGAATCTTAAAATTGCAGAATAAATTCACTTTTGCTACACGAGAGGAAAACTTAGGGCACTGACTTAAAACTGCAAGAAATATAWATTCAAATACATTGAAATGGTTTTCTAATAATTGCTTTCACTAATAAAACATAATATGACTAATCGTTGGGACCAATATTGTTTTCGTACAAATCTACTTTTAGCTATTTAAATTATTCTTGCGAAGTTCTGTGAACGACACAYACAATAACTGAAACATTTCACAAACTATGGAAAAAATATGGAAATGAAACCGTGAATTGGAGAGAAGATTAGGATATGCTTTGAGAATTCAACTTCATTTTGTAGCACTCTTCGTCTTCAATGCGCCGAAAAGAAAATACAAGTAAACCTTTGACAACTTAGTTGAAGATATTAGTGTATCTAATAATAAAATCATTTTCAGAATAACTTTATGGAAAATGAATTACCAGTATGGAAAAGTACTTCWGATTAAGTGACGCATTTAAGAATTCTTTACTTGAGTGGCATTGTTCGTAATATTTGAGCGAAACCGTTATCAAAATATGTGAGATTCGTAAGATATTAATAATTTTAAATTATATTTCACGCCTTTTCTTTTAAATTTACTTCAAGGGTAGCACATTTAAACAGGTTTTCAGGTTACAATTTAGCACAAATATGGCTACGTTTACTACACTTGAACGATCTTGAATATCAACTTTGCAATCTTGACCGATAATTYAGTAAAATAAATTATGTTACCAAGYGACTCTAAATTATAAAATTTTTGAATTATTCAATTAGCCAGCTAGTTATCCTTCGTTTTATGAACTTTGGGGCATGAATTTTTTATAGCTTTGATTTTTCTTTAAAAAAAAGCATAAAATATCGTACAAAATAAAACGAATCGAAATGCAATACATTCGAGGTTGAATACTTGTATTGGTTTTCCAGTACACCGTTGCCTTTGAATTGAACCGTTTTTTAGCCATTTAAGGAACCTTAAACAGTCACTTTTACACTGAGAACTGCTAAATGATTTATTTAAAGCTTCTCCGCAGTTTGGACTAATAAAGAAAGTTTCTGAAACTTTAATTWGAAAAAGAATATTTAACTTTGAAATTACGATATCAACTTTTTACATTTTTTTTTTCCGGCCCTAAAATTAATATCTTGTTCTAGCTATTTAAATATATTGGTTACTCGACAATCAATAGTGAAAGTGTTATAAGAGATCCGGCCGAACTTTAAAAAGTCTTTATTCAAACTAATTATAACAAGAAAACAATTCCCATTCGATCAAATTTTTGGAAGTTTTTTAATGTCCCTCGATTAAAACACACACTTATGTTATTCCATCATATCGCAAGGACATTATTCTGAATTATTCAATAATAAGATATAATATAACTAAGATATCTTACCTATGTTCACGAGCTGAATCCCGTCTTTTTCGAGCACTTTCAAGGCTGCTGTAGTATTTTCTAGTATTTGTGCGTAGAGTTTTGGGTTCTTATTCCATCTTCCAACTTTCTTCATCGACACCGCCTCGACAAGATGCACTAGAGTGATACCATCTGAGAAAGCTGTTTCTAAATCCGTTATGACAATCCCTGAATTTCTAAGTTGTTCATTGCACCAATTTGTAAAGGTATTCTTCTGTATTTCAACCCAATTTTTCTCTTGGTGAGCTATGTATTGTGAACTTCGAATGTTAAAGCTGCTTGAACGACCCACAGGTTGGCCAGTTGGRGGAGGGGTGACGTCTCCGTTATAACCGTTTACAGCCCGGTACGACATGATGGCTGGTAGTGTTTGAAGCTGTATGTGTTTTGCTTCGGCTTCTCAAGCGACGTCTTGTGTCCACTTGATCAAACCCGCTATATTTTCAGAAAAGAACGCAAAAGAATATTAATATTCGACGTAGTAGTTAAAATTAGAGATTCAAGCCCCAGTGATTTGCCCTTCGGGGCACGTAATGAGTTTAGATCTGCTTGAGTGACTTGAGTCATTTTAATTATGTCATCACAACTTCAATGACGCTCAATGCAGACACTCACAAGTAGTAAATGAAAAACCGGTTTCAACTAGAAAACCCTTCCAAACTCTAACTAATCCCATCAACTTGTCCGTCGATTATTGGTTGAAAATTAGAAAAAATATTCCACGAAACTCACAAGAAAAATGTCTCTCCCTTTTGTAAGAACTCAAGCTTGAACAATACGATTAATATTGATTAGATATTAAGATTTTCAATCGAGAAAACAAGAACAATATATTATTTACTGGAAATTTTTATCTTATAGTGACTATAGTTCAAAGAACGTAGCATTAGTAAATGACCTGTGGTAAAGGAATGTCAAGTGGGACAATATCAGTATACTAGATATGTATCGGGTTGGGTTATAAATCACATTTCATGTCAAATAGGTGGGCCAAGAATTATGCCATGGAACAAATGGAAGTGAATGGATCAAATGGAAGTGAATGGATCAAGTGGAAGTGAATAGATCAAATGGAAGTGAATGGATCAAATGGTAGTGAAAATTGTGTTTTAAACATTGTGCGAAAAATTAGCAAACGCGATGCTCAAATACGCGCACGCTGGTTCGTCTCAAACACACAAGCATTAGAGACCTTAGTTCAAAGTGAAAATAGGCTTGACGCAAGTACAACTTCTATTTACTCAAAACTACATTATAGCTACCTTTTTCTTCTAAAGTACTTCTTTTATTACGCTTATGCAACCAGCACAGAACCACAATCATTGTGCATGTATGAGACTTGCGCACTTGCGCCAATATTTAAACTTACATCATAAAGGAACGAGGTATTACAGGTTTGAGTAAGTACTAAGATTTCCTGCAGTCGTTGCCATTTCCATTTGACAACCGTGTACTATCCGCGATTATAGTCATGGTGAAGAAGCCATGCAACACATGACTATACACACCGCGCGCCCAATTTCAAGGCCATATGTCATCCGAACCACCATTTACCATGACAACCTAGTTGCCATAAGCACCCAACTTACCGCAATCCATCGCGCGCTCAGTTTTAAGGCCATATCTCATCCCCGCCACGATTCACCATAACAACCTAGTTGTCATATTTACTGCACTCGCAGCGTGAGTACACCATACCCACTGTGCGCAACGCTATAGGGATCCAATCCCTTTTATGTTTCACCATAACAATTTATTTGCCATCCTCACTATACTCTCAGCGTACATGTCCTATCACAGACAAGGTGCGTAAACCCGGAGTTCCACATCTTTCTATCGTGGACGCCATCCCTGGCATAATCAAATATACTTACACCCCTCCTACCTTTAAACTTATGCCTTAACCATTGCACTGTCGAGTAGTAACACTTCATTCCGAACCAGTAACCGTGTCCAATATAAACAATATAGTACCGGAAATGTATAATGATCTATAAATATGTAGATTTTTTCCCACCAAGGTGCCAAATATACCAGTGTGAAGCTTGAACATTTCTCTACATTTGACAACATGCTTTCTCTCTACTGTTATCATTCCTCGCAATTACGTCAAAATTGGCTTTAACGAAGTAATCGATTTTTAGTCTTCACTACAAGTCGTAGAAACGCCCAAATTATTCCAAAAAATACCGAAAAGTACTATTTAAAAATGAGTCGTAAGAGTGACTATAAGCTGGTATATACGATAATCGATAAAAAGACAGATATGTTTTGCTTTTCTTGGACATAGAATCTAAATCTGAATCAAAAATTTGAATATTTCTCAGTCGAYCGATAGCACATCTGATGATATAACAATATCGTTACTAATGAAATATTTTTATGATTTAAGTAATGTCATATATTTTATTATCGTTATCAAAATTAATAATAATTTTATTAAGAACTTACCTGAGTATTGAGAAAAGTCTTGTACGCTGTTTCTATCTCCTGGTTGTGATTATCCTGTGACTTGTTCAACTTAACTGTATTTTTTGATTTGAAATGAAGTCAATGGGCTTTTCGAGAAGAATCTAAAAATGCTATAAATTTTGTAGACGTCAATGTAAGACAATAATGTGTAAAACCGCTTACCCGTGACTTGGAAACTGTCATTCAAAAGTCCCTAGCAACGGCGCACTGGAGCAGCATATGTATCTTTCTGTGACGTGTTGTGACGTATCCAAGAGCTATGATTGGCTGGTGTGGATTTTCATGGTCTGTGATTGGTTAAGGTCGAAATTCTTGTCACACGCAATGCCAGATCATCATTTTCTGCAGATATACGAGCTCAATTGTTTTTAAACAATTTAATTCTTTCATAAAGTTCTACCTTAATTTCCAACACCGGCTTTTAATTCTCCTTCACTTCTTTGTTATTTTTAAAAATGACGTTGATTTTTCGTGTGAATCATTGATTAGTTAGAYATTAATGGATCGAAGGTAGTCACGAATTCAAAAGAGTTCTACGGCAATTAAACCAAGTGGGCGGTGCTGACGCTAAAGAGAATAATCCAGGTTTTAGTGGTAACGGGTGAGAACGTAGTTCTTAGACTGGACGACACGACACGGTTGTGGGATGATACCGAGGGAAGCGGTAGTGACGTCGTGTGAAGACATTACATGCGTAACGTTAACTTAGCTCACGTGTTATACTATAAGTTATGAAATGTTAAGAAAGAAACGTTGGTATAGAGTTTAGTAGTATTTGGACGATCTGTGATCATGCTTAAAAATAAATAATAGATAAATAAAAATTTTCAACTCCAGTATATGTATATACTATGGGTTATGATGGAATTACTAAATTGAAAAGTTGTTATACAGTTTAGTAAYATGTGGGTATTTGAGCGATCTGTGATCATACTTTAAAATTAATAAATAGCCATAGCAGATCTAGATTTGAAACGTTTTTGAAAAATGTACTACAAATTTAGGACTCCAGCATATGTATATACAATGGACTATTGAGCAATTGATTAATGAATACTGCATACTGAATAGTGCATTCCAAGACCAAAGTGCATTGTGGGTCATAGTGACATTGTCTAAAGTAGGATTGATAATAATAATTTATTCTGTGTTTTTACTTTTTATTTCGAATTTACGAGACCCACAATGCACTTCGGTCTTGGAATGCACTATTCATTATGCAGTATTCAGTATTCAACTTTTTTGAAATAACTGTATACTATGAATTATTAATATATTGATATTATTAAAAGTTGGCATAGTCTAGACTAGTGTAGTATATGTGTATGGTGCATGATCTACAGGAAGTTTTGTACAGACGAATTGCAACAAAACATGCAAAGAAAAATAGGCGCACTCTATAACCATATTTGATATTACTCCATAAAAGTGTTTCAGTAGAACTACTGTGACTTTCAGTAGAGTTTCTTGATACTGTGCGTGGCATCTGAATGCAATCTGTACGTTTAGTGTCAAGTATGCACGGTTCAAAATCTGCAGAAGACTTGATAATGCAGAATTAAAAGAATTGCAAAAAAATATAAAATAGGCGCAAGTTAATATCAATATCTTTAAAAGTGTTCATAACCCTTAGGCCTGCTGTGACTGTTATAAGAACTTCGTGCTATTAACTATAGCTATGRCATTCATCATGACTTTTAGAACAGGATTTGTACGATCTATATAGGAGGCTTGAAACAGATGAGTTTGTAACCCTGGTGTGTCAGTTATAAGAATTTCTTGCTGCTGTAAGTATGTACATAAAGAGGTTTGTACGCGTCTTTCCATCCATCCA